GTCAAGGGGACAAACAGTATATAATTAATGAACTTTTTATGCTGTTAACGGAAGGAAGACGGATTAATTGCTTAACTAAATTTTAGCAATTTAATGGGGTTCAGTATGTTTATAAAACTTAATTTTAAATGCATAAAAAGGTCATTTACTTATTAGTTTTGATCTATGCATACTCTGGATGCTAATTGTGGAAGTATTAAATCTTTTTCTGCAATTAGCTAGATTATTGGTTGGATTTAAATTGCTGGAATGTTAAACACTGTTCTGCAATAATTTGGGTAATGGTTTGGACTGTAAATTGCTAAATTTTTATTTAGATGTTGTAATTTACATGAATTTCGATTTAAATTGCTGAAATACTAAATACTCTTCTGCAATTATTTGGAATTGTTTGGACTGTAAATTGCTAAACTTTTATTTATATGTTGTAATTTACATGGTTTTGGATTTAAATTGCTGAAATACTAAATACTCTTCTGCAATTATTTGGAATGGTTTTGGACTGTAAATTACTAACTATTATGTGTTTGTTGTAATTTAGACGGATATGGAGGATTGTATGCACCGGTATGGGACGGTGACATACTAGGATGGCTTAGCTCAGAAACGCTAAGACCTACCCTATTGGAATAAGGGAATGGATTATAAATAAATCCTACTTATATTTATGCTAAGTCAAAGAAGCTGCAAAAGCTGAATGACTAGCTGGATTACTTGTTATCTATGTTGAGTCAAAGAAGCTGCACAAGCTGAATGGCCAACTGGATTTCTAATGGATGGATAAGAACATATTTTAAATATATTTTTATGGTACCACGATATGAGCTTGAGCCTCAGAGTCGTTGGTTAGGGCGCGTATATGCAGTGGATGCGTAGCTGGCTATGATGGGTTGAGGTGTACCCTATTAGGTCTAGGTACTCATGCCCACCTTTGGGTGCGTTTTTGCATGTTGTCTTCTGTCCAGGTTGAGACCCCCTATATAGTCCAGTGAATGTCCCTTAGTGTGCATATTTATATATATATGGACTAGATAGCTATTATTGAGATATCTAGGGTGTATCTGCGTATCGGGTCATTGTATGGATTGCAGTTAGAATAGAATTTGCATGTGGGCCTGACCCACTCTTATTTTTACAAGTGTTCATCGGTTCCAGGCTTAAAACTTGATCGTGTTGAGCAGATATAGTCATTCACTCCACCGACGACGTAGGATTTTATTTTCATGGTTTAGCATTGGGTTCTTCAGTTGTTATTTTTCCAGTGTTGGAGTTTATTAGGGGTCCATCAGATGGATTCCCGAGTTGTATTCAAAATAGAGAAGTTGAATGTATCAGAATAATTCTTTATTTATAAATTTATTCCAAGGTTTCAGTTTTTGGGATAATCGTTCTATTTTCTTTTCAGCAAATTTTATTTATTCCTGTTTATCCTAATTATATTCTGTGTTCATTTATTGCTAATTGGTTTGATATGCTCGGGTAATCGGGCGTGGGCCTGGCCAACCCGCATCCGGAGATCCGGGGTTATCACACAGACTTTGTGGATGATGGATGTTTATAGATTTGGATTTAGGGGTCCCTGTGTTTACAGTATTCCCAAATTGTAATAAATAAGATTATAGATTTGGAGGTTCTTTTAATGTTAGTTTTTCCTTCTGCCATTGTTTCTTTCATTATTTCATATTGTATTTTGTGCTTGTTTGTTACCATGTGTTGATATTCCCAGATTTTTTTTATATAGAAGCCTGATCAACTTATATGTGGAAATTAGGGGCTGTTACAGTTCAAAACAAGAAAGAATCATCATTGCCATCGATGACTCCTTTGACCTCACAGTGTCTACGAAAAGTTCTATAAAAAATAGGCAACTTTGTTGTCTAAGGAGCTTGGGTCCTAAGTAGGATCGTCATGATCCCACCCATTCCTTCTGGGACCATTCGTGGTTGTGTGTCAAGAGATCACGGTTGGCAATTCAGAATCATTTTTTTTCGAAGAAAGCGCCTTTGGTTTGAGATCAAATGACTTCAACCAAAAATCCTTTCATCAATCATTCCCAAATGAGAATGTTAAACGACTAAATTAAAGATGATATTTTGTAAGTAATGACTAGGTAACTTCGTTTATGGAAATCTCGAGATCTATTGAAAAATTACATCTAGTGGAATGATGGTTGAAACCCTTTTTTTTTTTCCTTTTTAAAATCACCAGTAATGGGAACCCAACTCTGTCTAGAACATCACTAGTTCCAAAGTTTAATAGGTAAGATTAACAAGTTACTAATATGTGTATGTTTAATCACTGATTATATTATGAATGCATCTTCTAGGATATTTAGTGCTGATTGTTGTGTATTGAGGATGAGTTACACACTCTTAAAGAAGTTAAAAATTATGTGAAGTGTTTAAAGTAACATGGACCCATATATATTAGAACTTCTCCTATGAACATAAGAAGTGGTGTCGCTTTTAACGAGAGTTATTTACTCCTGTAAATGTTCATGAAACTGGGGATTAGCACATGGCCATCATAGTGCTAAAGAAATAAGAACATCTCATAGAAACTGTTTATAATCACGTGCGGTATTTTCAGTTTTAATATCGAGGAGATTTGGTTTAAGCTACAACCACCATAGTTCTTCATTAAAATTTTGAAGTACTTAATTAGACTAACTAACTGAAGATTCAACTTGAAAGATATCTTCTTGTGTGCATGACTATGTCATTGTAATTTTGAATGAGTTAATACCCCAAATATTACACTATAGTGGGGTATTATTAGATATATTGTAATATAAGGAGTGAGAGAAGTGGAAGGTTGTATACAATTGAAACATCTCTAAGTAACAGGCACGTCATTTTAAGTATTTTGAATAGTCACATCTATTCCTAAAATACATGCATGTCCAGTGGTGGCTTTTAGGTTGAAATTGGCAACAATTTGTACTCTATAAATAAGGTACTTGGTTCAAAATTTATTAACATAATATTCAATTGTCTATTTTGAATAGTCACATCTATCCCTAAAATACATGTTTGTCCAGTGGTGGCTTTTAGGTTCAAATTGGCAACAATTTGTACTCTATAAATAGGGTACTTGGTTCAGAATTTATTTACAACACAATATTCAATTCTCTCTCTCTCTTTCACTGCTAAGTCAAATTATAAATAGTTTCACAGAGTGTTCAAGGGAATCTTTAATATTACTAACTACATATTCCGACTTTGTTGTATCTTGTATGTGTTTTGCAATAGAAATTAATAGTAAACTCAATTAGAGTGGAGCAAATAACACCTTAAAGAAAGTGACTACATGTCTCAAAGTTACAAATTGTTTTCCTTCTTTAATTTTGAAAATCAGTAAGAAAGTGACTACATGCCTCAAAGTCACAAATCGTTTTCCTTCTTTAATTTTGAGTATTGGACCTGACATGTTCTTTACACAAAACTGAAATAAAGAGTGAGTATATGAGAGGGAATGACTAGTATATATATATTTGACCAAATATGAACCCAAAAGGCTAAAATATTAAGGAAATAATTGATCGATGAAAATTACACAACACTTCAAAGGAAGAGAGAAAACAAACCACCATTACCTCAAAGTTCACCATATACAGAAGCACAACCAGATGCTAATTAATCTGTCTTATAAATTCATCATGAATCCTAATGCCTTCAACTTCTTGCTACAGGTGTGGTTTTCCCTTCTCATTCGAGAATAAAAAAACTGTAGTCCAAAAATATGTGGTCTAACTATACCATACACTCAGGGTTGGAGCCAGTATAGGACCGGGGGACACGTGCCCCTCTTGGATTTTTTTCTTTTCTTATTTTATATATACATATATTTTTCTATATAGGTATATATTTTTTGAAAATGTGTAAAAGTGCCCCCCCCTCAAATTTCTCCTTCCCTTGTATACTTTCATATGTTTCCTTAAATTTTTTTTCTTAAATTGTTTCATTATATTCCATATATGTAATTTATTAATTTACCTCATTCCAAAAATATCAATTTCTATCTATATATATCCATATTTCTCTTCTCTTTTTTTTCTTTTTTTAATATTTTTGGTTAAAATGTAAGCTTGTGTATAAATAATGGAGAATTGTACAAGAAGCCCCAATTATAGTAGAGACTAAAACAAGAAACAACACAGCTAATAATTACAACCAACAACACATGGGGAGTGAACACAAGATCAATAGCAGCAACAAACAAAGTGAACACAAGATCCATATTTCTCTTTACGTATATATACTCCATAGATATTAATTTATATGTATTTAGTGTACAATGTGCCCCTGAACAAAAATTCTGGCTCCGTCACTGCATACACTATAGTATTACTATTTAAATATTATGCATAAATATAATGTGTGTATATATATAATTATTATTATAAAATAATAATCTATATATATAATAACTTGAAAATAAAATAACAAAAATATTTAAATAATATAGTATAAGCCGAATCTGTCTTAAGATTATAGTCCAAAAATAAGGTCTAATTATACTATATACTATAATATTATTTATTTAAATATAATCTGAAAATAGAATGTATACATATATATATAACAGTATTGAGAAACATTTGCTACCATTAATTTCAATTGGCCGTTGAATCTTGTGAAGTTCACATTGTAAGTCTTGAGAAACATTTTCTACCACTAAGATTATCTTTTAGGTTTCATTTCATATTGACCCACGAACACCCCATAAATCATAACATGACACATTTTGGTCATGTACGTACGTGCCATCTTATACATGCCGATCAGGTTGGTGAGAAAGAAGAAGAAAAGCTTAACATTTAGTATTATTATTTTTAATTGCACAAATCCACAAATACATATTTAGTGCCTATCCTAGATAAAGCTTAGAACATATTATGATATTAACCATTAACTCCATACGAACATGTCAATAGATTAAGGTCTCCTTTATGTTCTATTTGGTTGTGTCATAGACAGATAATAATAATAATCAGAAACTTTAATTAAGTCGTAAATACTGAAGAATTTTTATATTCTTTTTGTTTTCAATACAGCTTAGGGCTCCACAAGTACCCCTTGAAATGCTTTCTTTTGTAAAAAAAGAGACTCAAAAATTTTAACATGTTTCTTATTCAAGTCTACGACCTTCCCGCCTCTAGATGGGAAAAAATACACCCAATTTTTCTAAGTCTTAGAAAATTTTGCAACCGACCCCTACTGTCAGTTAATGTGTAATCAAAACTAAAATTTCAAAAAGACAACCGTCAATGCTAACACCAATCCCATGACACCACCAGCACTCAGGACGGCGCGTGAGGCCGGCGAAGCTGGAGCAGTGGCGTCTTCGGTTGCTGGTGCATCCGCAGCAGGTGTGTCTGACTTGGGAGGAGCGCTGTCGGGTGTCGGGCTGGGTGCTGGTGCCTCGCTAGGAGTAGTATCATCGGATCCTTCGTCAACCGGGGATTCAACCTCTGGGGCCTGTGCCTTCTTGGGGGCGTTGGCCTTCCTCGGTGCCTTGGCCCTCAACGGTGACGGTGCCGGAGCAGGTGTCATCATTGGTGGCGGAGCGGTGAAGTTTCCGTCAATGCCGGGTGCAACTATAACACTAGAGACTTCAATAACGGAAATGTTGAACGGCTGAGACGCCACCAACTTGACGAGCTTAGCATCCAGAGGAGCGCCTTTCACAGCGGACCCGAACACGATGTTTCCGTTGCCTAAGTTGGTCACGTTCAAGAACCCTTGCCGGTTATTGGCGACGCCGCTGGATTGGTACAATGTGGTCAAGATTTCGGACTTACCCTTGAGCTTCTGGAGCTTGGGAATATCATAGTAGTCAAGGACTATGTGGTTGCTGAGGATGCTCTTGATGAGGTCCGTGGACTTGTCCGAGATGGAGGAGACGGCGCCATTGCTGACGGCGAGGACAGTGATGGTGGATCGCCTGTTGATCTCCCTGTTGAGGCCGGTCTCGTTGAGGTACTGGTTGAAGTTGCTGAACTCGGGGTTCTTTGAGAGAATGTTGGTGATGTTGAATGCGGTGGCGGTGGAGGAGAGGAGGAGGAAGGAGGAGAAGAGAAGGAACGATGGCTGGGCGAATGAACTCATCTTCGAGATTGAGATTATTTGGTCGATCAAACCTGAAGATGAGTTCTTGTTTATTTTCTGATCAGGAGGAAAACTTGAATGCAATACTTTAGAGGAAAGTGTGGTGTGGTATAAATATGGGTTGGTTTGAGAGTGGGTTCTAAAGATATTGTGGATGAGAGTGAAGGTCTCTCTTTCACACACACGAGGGGATGATGGGTTTTGATTCTGTTGAATGCTTTTGGGAAGTTTTATGGTTCTAAATTCCCCGTGTTTCCATGCCACAGCCTCTCCCCCTTGTTAGACTATATATGTGAGTATGTGTGTTTTTGTGGGTGTACTATGTGTTGAAACAGTGGAAGAAGAGAGGAGCTCAGGATAAATTAAAAGAAATTTGGACTTCTATCACTTATTTACCTAAGGAAAAATCTTGGATGCTTTATTTACCCAAAAAAAATTATAATAATAATGATCTTGGATACAATATATATATATAGTATAAATTTGGAGTTCTATCATTTATTGAATAATACTTAACAACTCACTGATGAGTAGCTTCGCCCTACTCACTCTTTGTATGTTCCAATAAGAATTTACCACATCAGCTTTAATAACAAAATAATTCACGTCCTCCTATATTTTCTTCTTATTGGAACATACAAGGAGTGGGTAGGGTGAAACTACTCACCAGTGAATTGCTAAGTATTATCTTTATTTATTTACCCAAGGAAAAATCTTGGACTTCTATCATTTATTTACGAAAAATCTTGGATGATTTATTTACCCAAAAAAAAAAAAAAAAAAACCTTGGATATTATAGTATAAATTTGGAGTTCTATTATTTATTGGGATTTGTTTACATGTGGTATTTATTATATCATGAACCAATAATAGAGACTTTCTAATTGAAACCCTTTTATAAGGAAAAATTGTAAGAAGACCCAAAGTTTATCAAAAATTGTAAAGTCTATCTTTTGTTTTATCTTTTTGTTGTATGCCTGTTTGTGTTTATTTTCTTTGGTATCATAGCCAAGTTACGAAAAATTGGGACCAACTAAGTTTTAATTTTTGTATGAACCCCATCGGCAATAATAGTCGGGTTCCAAAAATAAAGGAATTAAATTAGGACTTTCAATCAGGTTAAACAAAAATTAGAACAAATCTCTGTAAAAAGAGAAGTTCAAAAATTATCCAGAAAACTAGATTCTATCAAGCTAGATCTAGAAGACAAATTAGATTTAAAAATAGAGATTTTAAATCTAAATAAGAAATTTGACTACATAAGTCAAGAAATAAATAATTCTAGGATTTCAAACCTAGAAAAGAAAGTAGATCAAATCTTGAGAAATCAAGAAAGATATTCAACTAAAGCTAGATTAACTAACAAAAGTTGTTATAGCTTTAGAAAACACTGACAAAAATCTTAGTGACCAAGTAATTGGTAAACTTAGTGTTGGGATTTATATGCCCTGGCATAGCAAATTCCTATCTGGATTGTATTGACATATGTTCCTGACATATCTGAAATATTTATGATTTATATAATTGGTGAATTCAATGTATTATGTTTCGATTCACTATGAAATTGATAGTGTCCAGTTAATTACAAGAAATATTTATGTATATGTATGTGATGACAATCAATGCATGATATATAAACAGTAATTATAAATTGTTCATAGTCGTTAATTATGGATGGACTCATAATTAATTAAGACTTGAACTGGATCCGCGTTAGGTTGAGACATATTGCGAGAGCCGTCGTATGCAATTACTCCCTATCACCGTCATGGCATTTGACTCTTAAGCATGAGAAAAGTATAGACTCTTTTATTAATTAATAATTACTTTGATTTGTTCGGCGGATTCTTCGGGATCCTTAGACCGACACTTTGGGTAGTTATGTAATTAATAGTTAGAGGGTTATATTTTCAATATTTGCATCATTGCTACTTGTATTTATTTTGTATTGATTATGGTTGATAACAAAGTAAATTCGAAGGCCTTCGTGTGTTTTTAGACAAAATGATTTATTATATATTTATTTATTTAAATTATTATTTTTGTCAAACAAATGTTTTATTGTGATCGAGCCAGAAATAATCAAAGGTACCAAAATAAATATATTAATTAAGTAGTCGGATTGATGGCTATATTTATCCGATAACTAATTATGCATAGAGGGGTCAAAGTGCAATATTGACTTAGAGGTTATTTATTATTTAATTGGAGTTCAATTAATTTCTTTTAGTGGAGTAGAAATTAATTTTTGAATTAATTGAATTGGGTCCATGGACCGGGCCAATTATTAATTCATTGTAGCCAATAAAATAATAGGCCCAATGGATTCTCACTCATAGCCCAACTTGATATTGGAATCATATTAGATTTGAGACATGTGAATTAAAGATTGAGAAGGATTAGTTGTTTCCTTTTCTTTACCTTTATGTTGCCTATAAATATACATGGTCTATGTATATTTTAGGGGTGATTTTGATGAGAGGAAAAAAATGAATAAATTTTCTCTCTCTAGAAAATTAGGGTTTATGTTCTCATCTAATGGAGGCTCCCACAAGCCTAGTTTTCCAAGGTCATTCAAGGAGGCTTATGAGTGATTCCTAAAGGCAAGACCATTACCAAGAAGATGGAGATCCATGGAAAAGATGTCTAGCAAAAGGGATCTACAATAAGTGAGAACATTCACTTTAGAGGAGAGATCTGAGGTTTACTCAAACCTTGATGTAAGTATTCAATCTTTTAGTTGAATAATACATCATATTTTATTTTATTTTTTGCATAAAACTTGTCTCTATGTGATGAATCAAGATCTATGAATTTAAATCCCTCGAAAAGTTTTTAAAACTAGCACGTTTCCCAACAGTGGTATCAGAGCATGGTTTGATTCATTATTAGAGATCATGATTTTATGAAAATCATCATTCATGGATCCATAATTATATTCATATATATTTTTATTGATGTATGTTGATGTATGATTTAATATGTTGATATATATTGATACATGATGATGTATGAATAATTGTGAATGAATGATGATGTATGGTTGGGCCATGGATGAAGCTTATAGGAATATTACATGTAATTTTATCTTTAGATGAATGTAATTAAGGCCTTGATTTAGCCGTTTGAAAGTTCAATGATGTAATTTATTTTTCCCATTGTATTTCAAGTTGTAAATATTTTTAAAGCCATGTAATATTCATCAAAGGATGCTATGAAGCTTCAAGAAGGTCCAAGAGGGTTAAATTAGGCTTCAGAAATTTTTTGGGATTTTTTACCAATTTTTCAGAATTTTTCTGGAATTTTTTAAGGCCTAATTTAATTTCTGGAAATTTTTATTAATTTTTCTGGATTTTTTGGCGTTTTTCCGGTGGCCGGAGCATCACCGGCGGCGAGAAGAGACGTCGGAGGAGGCTAGAATCAGGTGTGGCAGCGGTGGGGTGAGCCTGGCGCGTGAGGAACACGCGCCAGGAGGTGACATATGCTGGCGCGTGCATTGCACGCGCCAGCCAAGTGTGTATGGCCTCCACGCGCGTGCAGGCGCGTGGAGGCGCGTCCCACGCGCCCCATGCGCGTGCCAGCGCGTGGGGGCGCGTCCCACGCGCCCCAGGCGCGTGCCAGCGAGTGGGGGCGCGTGGCTTCACCTGCAGCATGCCCCAGGCGCGTGTGAGCGCGTGTGGGGCCCTCCAGTCGCGTTCCAAGCAGTGTTTTGCTTCTCCTAGCGCGTATCAACCTCCTGCGGGTGTTTGCAAGCTGATGGAAGATCCTCGCGCAATACTTAGAGTAATTAAATGTTAAAAGCTGAATCCATTGGCCATTTAATTTGCTTTATCTGTCATTTATTGTTGTATGTGATGCATGAAATAATTAATTGCTAATTATTATTGTTCATGCATTGGATCCATGATATTTATTTAAATGGCTTGATTTATATTAGTTAAATTATGAAAATTAATTGGATTTGATTACTAATTAATTAGAGGGCACTTATTGGGAAACGAAAAATTATTTTTATAAATTATTTTTGAAGTGTGCCTCAAGTTAAATATTAGTGAATCGTTTAAAGTCCAAATATTTTCTAAATTTAATTGGATTAAAATCAAGACGTTTTGCATGCATTATATCATGTAAATGAATAAAATGAAAACCCTAATTATGAATGATTAAAAATTGAGTGGGAGCGGGAATTTTTATACATTGCCCCATGGCCTTCGTTATTAAAACCATTGTAATTAGATCTTCAAAAATAAGGCCCCACGCATGATTTGAAGAGTCTTAATATTACAAGAATGGTTGTCTCATGAAAATAAAAATATTAAATGTTCATTGTAATTAGATCTTTAAAAATAAGGCCCTACGCATGATTTAAAGAGTCTAGATTATAATGACAACATATTTAATGTTTTATTTTTCATTAGAGCATTAATAATGTTATACACTCAATCTAAAATCAATAGTGTTAGCTCCCCAACGGAGTGGTCTACACTAGGTAATTTTAGAAAGGCTAAACATAATCGGGAGTCATTTCATATAGATAGACAAGGCATTGTCTTAAGAGATATGGAGATGATGGGATTTGCCCGCCAATAGCAATAATGAACTTCGCCAACCGAATAAGTTATTGGTGTACTGGTTATCCGATTTTTCATGCAGTGGTTAAGGGACCCACATACTATTTTAATGGAAGTGCTCACCTAATAGTAAATGAATCTCAACAATAGTAATAATGAACTCCTCCAACAGGATAAGTTATTGACATATTGATTGGTTGATTTATTATGCTACAGAGTTGAGGGACCCGCATTAATTAAAAGGGATTGTTCACCAATAATGATAATGATCTCTTGTTCGATTGAGATTTATTATATTATGTGGTTAACAAACTCATTTTAATTTTAAATATGCATGACAGAATTAATAATTCACCTTGCATATTGTATGAATGCATTTATATTCAGATTAATTATGTCTAATTCAGTTTATCTGCTTGCTTACATATTCTATGATATTGGACCTTATTTATAATGACTGGAAAATGAACTTAGATATTTTATTCACAACGTAAGGGTACAAAATGTG